AAAAAAAAAAAAAAAAAAAAAAATGTGGAAATAAATAAAAAGCACTTATTCTGAGAATACGTTTTTTTTGTAATTTTTATTGAAAAACGTATTTGCATAATACGTTTTTCATTGAAAACGTACTCTGAGAATACGTTTTTCAATGACAATTTGTAAAGAAAACGTATTCTCGGAATACGGGTTTTTAATTTTGATCCAGATTTTTATTTTTGCTTTTATTTGTGTCCATTTGTGTTTTTTTTTGTTTTTTATATATATAAATTTTCCATCAATCAATAGTTTGACACTTTGACTTGTCAATAAGATGTAAGATTAGTGCACTGATTACAATTCATTCATAGAATTTTTAAAATACAACCAAATATCAATTAATAAAGCATCATTATGTTTGGCACAGACTAAATACACACTCAATAACAATAGTAATAATAATAATATTTATCCATTTCTTTCTTTATCTCTGCTTTCATGAGAGGCCACTTGCAGACTGCAGTTGCTGATGGTAGGGAATATATTGCTGCAAATTCATGTAAAAAATANCAACCTGTCCCAAGAACAACTTTCGAAATCACAAGAAAAAAAAAAAATTGTCGTAAATAAGAAACCGAGCTGTATGAACAAACACTTAACCGGTTTATTATGGATTTTAAGTTGTGCCCATGTTATCATCTCCAGTAACTCCTCCATTGTGCCATATCCTCCTACATATCCGAAAAAAATAAAAATAAAAAATCAAACTTAAATAAAAACGAACGCCATTTTAATGGAATATGCAAAACGATCATATTAGTATGCGCAAGATTTAATTGAAATTTTATTTTTATTTACCGGGAAGAGCAATAAACGCCTCTGCTATCTTAGCCATCTCGGCTTTACGCTCATGCATGTCGGCCACGATTTTCACGTCCCCAACGCCTTCTCCCGATATCTATCCACATAAATTTTATAAATTAAACTTCATACAAAAATTTTCCTCACAACTTTATGAATTAAACATTATACAAATTTTTAGTCACTTGAGATATCAAAAAGTGCCGTTTAGAGATCAAGATCGAAAAAGCAATTGCGCATACCTCAACAGGAACCAGAGCTTTTGGAATCACTCTGCATGTTGAAAGCAAATTACTGTCAAATTTTCAATAGTATGATGATCACTTGACATCAAAAAGTGATTTTTATTGGGAAATATTGTTATTAATAATATTATTATTTTTATTTTTTTTGAGTTTTTAATTTCTTACCCAAGAACATGGCAGCCACCATCATACACTCTCTGTGAAATTAATCCCATTAGGCCAACACTCCCACCTCCATACACCAAATTTATCTTCCTTCTCACCTGTAAAAATAAAAAAATATTCAACAAAACAAAAATAATAAATGAAATTTACGATGAACAAAAGATCGCGATATCGATCAACCAAGATATTAAAAATTCAATCTTTGGCTGAGTTCTTTATTAATTTTAGACAAGAAAGAGAGGAAAATGAAGAAAACCAGCTCATTTCCCAAGTCAATAGCAGCATCACTGAAGATTTGCCTGTGCCCAGAATGACTTCCACAGAACACACAGATTTTCTTGAATTTGCTTATGCCTTTTGAGTTGCCTGCCATTAATTTAGGAGTCAAGTTTCTTCACACTGATTTTGTTTTTGTTTTTGTTTTTGTTTTGTTTTGTTTTGTTTTTATTCATGTAAGTACTAGGAAGTGCATGTTAGGAAGTGCATGTTAGAAGGGAAAGATATTCAAACTTTATTAATTGTGTTGAATGCTACATGTACCAATAAACTATTTTAAACTATTTTAAAAGCCACAAAGCTAAAGATGAAAGAGACAGATGAAGATAAATAAACAGAGTTAAGTGTATTGGTTTAATGAATTAGGCCAGTTGAGGAAAAATATCAGCAGCCCACAGACTACATATCTGTCGGCTTCTCAATGAATTGACCATAAAGAAAAGAGTAAATAAATTAAACTTGTGCTATCCACGATTCTTGTTCAAACATGTGCTATCCACGATTTTACAACATTTCAATGCTACTCACATATTTTTCAGTTTTACAAATTAAACTTCATTATTATTTTAATTTTGATTTGTAATTTATGTAATAACATTATTTATAATGTTAAAATTCACAAAATAATATGCAATTTATATAATAAAATTAATCATGTAATTTATATAATAGAATTATTTTATAATATGTACAATAAAAATATTTCTACAAGAACACATTATTAATGTTAAATTTAAATTATTTTATTTAAAATATTATTTTAATGCAAATTCAAAATTCCACTAACAACTAATCATACAATATTTTTAAAATTAACACTGGTTAAAAAAAAAATCAGATACATGAAAATTGAATTACACATGCCAAAAAATGTTATTTCACTTTTTTTTTTCTTCTTCTTGTAATCATTCCTTTTTTGTTTGGCCCCTCAATAAAAAGTAAAAAATGCTACAAGTACATAATAGATGTACATAACACTCACATGAAGTGGGGTCCACTTGATTTTTTATTTTTGGTAGGACCAATTTAATATGAATGTTATGTACACCTCTATGTACAATATTATGTGTCTATAACATTTCTCATAAAAAGTATTATCTCCTATTCTTTTTAAATGTCATTTTGGCTTAATAAATGTCGTTTTGGATCTTTTGTATATATTTTTTCATTATTACCCTCATTTAGTTAATAAATAAACTACGTCTTTTCATATTCTATTCATCTTTTTTTTTTTAAAAAAATATTTATCTCTATCTTCATTAATGAGAGTTATTATTGACAAAAAAATTATTTTTAATTAGTGTGCAACTTCCCAAAACGACACTTATTATGAATAAGAGAGTGTAACTAATTTTTGACCGTCAGAAATGAATGTTGTAGATAGATTAGAGGTGCCTAACTTTGGCTTTCATCACCACTCCCCTCAAACCAAGCAATCTCTTACACTTGTGACCACCAAAAAAAAATAAAAAATCCAATAATACATCATTGTTCTTCTATGAACAAAAATAAAAAAATAAAAAATAACACCTTCCCCAGAAAATAAAATATAATATTTTGAAATTTCCAGATCCTTAACCCCAAAAAAATAAAATAAAAAAAAAATAAAAATAAAAAAAAAATATTTCCTCTGCATACTCTGTTTTTTTTGTCTTCCACCTTTTTCTGCATGGGTCAAAGACTCCAATTAGGTTGTCCAAAGTAATAACGATAAATACCTCATCACAAAAAAAGCAACAAAAATGGATTAATATTTCATGTTCATAACAATTCATATTCAAAATCTCACTTTATTTTTTTCCCTCTAATCCCCAAACAATTTCTTTTGCTACAGCTTCATTCCTCTGTGGCATGTTCCACAAAAAGTCGCCCTCGCCGGACCCCACCACCGCCAATAAGGAAGAAAAAACCCCATCAGCCGCCCGGAATTCCAGCGACGCGCCGGAAAACCCGCCGCCGGCCGGGCGGCACATGAGGGCGGGCGAGCAGCACCGGCGGTCGAACTCGGGGGCTTCGAAGCTCGTGTCAAGCGTGAGCATGAAGGTGAAGAAGAAGCTGAAGCACGAGGACTCGATATGGAAGAAGACGATAATATTGGGGGAGAAGTGCCGGGTGCCGGAAGAGGAGGACGAAGAGACAATATTGTATGACGAGAATGGGAATAGGATTTCGGCATACCACCACCGGAAAACCCACAGTGGGGCCCTCTCGTTTTCCCGGCCAGCTGGTCTCGATTATCGGGAAGATTTATCAAGAAAATAATAAGGTAATTTATATTTATGTATNTCTGAGTTTTTGACCTTGAAATTTGAGGGGGACAAAGAAAAAGATGTGAATTTTGGTTATTTGAGAGTCAAATTTGCTTTTTTTTTTCCCCCCTAATTACTACAATAAAAATGATGGAATTCTAACAAAAATTTTAATATAAATATATTCCAAAAGAATTTAAACTACAATTCCAATGGGTATTCTAATTTCATTATTTCTGTAGAAATTTCTCAATAGATTCCAATGAAAATATTTTGTTTGAATGAGTTTTCGATTGACATTTCGTTAGATTTTGACGATTCCTATAATAGATTTTTCAATGGTTGAAATATGGGTGGAAATAAAATTTTCAAACAGAAACTGCATATTAAAATGAAATTTCTATTGTAATAAACCATTGGAAAAATGACTATTGGAATCATCAAATTCCAACTAGCTAGAATTCTAATGGAAAACTATTTCAACGAGATATTTTCGTTTGAATTTCATTCTAATAAAAATTATACCATTTAAAGATCCGTTGGAATATGATAGTTGTTTATGTAGTGTTGATTTTAATCTTAGTTCTCTTGTTGTAGGTTGAAACAGAATTTGATGATCAGTTTGAAGCAAGAAATATGTAGTTTTTGATTTGAGTACTTCGTGTGACAATATCGGTCCTTTTATACAAGATTTTAGAGGAAATGACACTTAATGAGTTCATTCCACTATTTTTTTTTTCACGAACGATATTAATTAAATAAATCCTTCACAATTCAATGAAGATGCATTCAAACTACTTGAGGAAAAGTAGTTGATCCGTATCCACACTACAATTTTTGATATACACAAATTGGATGAATTCATCTTAAAATCTTCATAATACAATTTTTTTTCCAATTAACCATTAGTGTTAATGCAGCCATATCTATTCTTCACAACTTCCCCATCAATATAATTTGCCATTTTGTCCCTACTGCAAAAAGAAAAAATAATAATAGAAAACAAATATCTATGCCTACTTATAAAGCCAAAACACAAGACAATTTTTTCAATCACCACAAAAACACAACCTATTTTCCCCATAGAAAACTAGAAGACAATGGATACATCAATACCCTTGTATTTTCTCATACTCCTCACAATATCTCATGCCCACACTTGTAAAAACTCAAGCATTCTCACAAACAACAAATCCCCTGGATTAGTAACAGATGCACTAATCCACAAGATTTGCTCGAAAACCGGAAACCCTGCCCTTTGCATGCACCACCTGGGCCAGTTCAAAGGCAAGCCCGTTATTCCAACAACTCTAACTAACATAATCGGGCTAGCAAAACACCACGCACAAACGACCAAACACAAGATTTCGGACATTCACAAAGAAACCCAAGAAAACAAACCCGAATTAAGATTGATGTACCAAAAGTGCATCAAGAATTATGCGGATGCTATGGGTCAATTGGATAGAGCTATTTACGGGTCAAGGGACTATCGAAAAATGGGGCCCATCAAACAACATGCTTTGATTGCCATATCCGATGTTCGATCATGCACGATGGAATTGGCTAAGCACAAGAGCGAGACTTTGGGCCTTATTAGTGATAACCGCATGTTCCAAGATATTGGAAGTGTCATAGTGGGCATATGTAATGAAACCTCTTAGATAGGTTCAAATTGTGGACGACGTAAAGGGAGACGAAAGGCTATCATCAACAATGTGCTAAAACTTATAATAATACAATCATTTAACCCTTTGAAGATGAAAGTAGAAAATCCATTACAAATTTACTAAGAGTTTAGAAAACGTGCAAGATAATTTTTACATTCAAGAAAGAACCAAGCTAGACACATCCCATCTAGATATTTTCAAAAGAAGAAAAAAAAATGAAAATTTGAGGATTCATCAGAACATGATGAAGACATTGAAGAGTCGTTGTTACTCGCTCTCGTAAGTTGAATTTTGTCATTGTAAAATAAAAAAAGAAAAAAAGAATATATGACTGTCTAACAGTTAGCTAGTCTAATAACAACATTTGTTATAACAAAAAAAAAAAAGTTTCTCATAATGTCACATTCATCTTTCAATTTTGTACCGCCTTTCTTTATACTTCCAAGTTCCAATCCATACACATATCTTTCGATTTTCCTATGTATTGCACAGAAAGAATATTGGTGAATAATGTTACAAAATATGTGTTTCGATTACAATGGGAAACCTATGAACTGAGATGATGTTTTCAGTTTGTACAATTTGAACTATAAAACAGAAACAAAAATACAACTGAAAGTGGAAAGACAAGCGTATGCGATGTTGCTTTTTATGAAGGCGCCTGGTCTCTAAAGATACAACCACGGATGCTTCAAAGGTTGTAACACAACAGACTTTCGAGTTCTGACGAACTTAAACGGAATGTGAATTTTGGGGGAATGTCAATTTTGGTTATTTGTGTGTGTGTGTGTGTGTTTTTTGGTAGTTTGAAAAAGCATAAATAAAAGCATAAATAGAAGCATAATTTGATGATCAATTTGAATTAAGAAGTTTGTAGTTTTTTATTAGAGTACTTGGTGTGACAATATTAGAATGGTCTTTTAGACAAAATTTTAGAGGAAATGACAGTACGTGCCTATTTACTAACTTATCACTATTTTTTTTTTTTTTTTAATTATATTAATTTTTAAAAAGTTGGTATGATTAATTGTTAGTGACATTTTAAGTTTGTATTAAAATAATATTTAAAATAAAAAAATTGAAATTGATTTGATGTAAAAGTATGAGATAAATAATTAAAAGACATTTAATTGTAGTTAAAATAATGTGACTGAATGAACAATAAATTAAAGTTTTTGTAATAATTGATTGATATTATTTGATTATATTGATAATATTGTGGATAGTATGGTTTGTATTTTGGGTGGGACAAATCTCAAGAAAATAGCTTAAGAAATCAGAAGAAAGATGGTAAAACGACTAAAGTCCAGGCACGTAAAATACGCTCTCCTTAAGACGAAATAACCCCATATATTACCCACGGTTTACGGCTAACGCCTCCAAGATACAACGACTTTCGATGTGTATAGTGGTAACTCAAATATACAAGCCTTCGGCGAACAATACTTAAGTTTCAGAACTCTCAAGATAAAAATGAACACAAAGAACACAAAGTGATTTATGAACGTTGTAAAAGAATGCAAAGAGCTCCTTAATTTTCAAGTTATGAATGATTTCATTTACGTTGGTATTTATAGATGTAGAAAAACACCTCCAAGAGGCTTAAGTGCCAAAAGATACCTTTTGGGACGTACCCGAACGCAAATGGACGCATCTAGAGGCCAAAAGACACCTTATAGTCACTAAGGGTCGCGACCTTTCGGTGTTCACAGCTAGCTGCGTGCCCGTGGGCCGCGGGCTCGTACGAGCTCATCCGGATTCAGAATCGAGTTCATTTTTTTTTCTACTCATCCCCGAACTCTTCTAGTTTTGTAACATGCAAGCTGCATGATCAATTCTCGTTTGGATTATCTTATCATTCGTCAAAGACAAAAAAATTTACGAATCTAATAATTTGAGTTACTTAAACTCATTGCTTCAACCTTACATTTCTTACATATACAACTTAAAATTAATTTCTCATTCACCTTAAAATATTTTTGAGAATTTTCTTTAAGTCTTCCACTTATAAAAAATAGAACCGTAAAATCGGTACAAACCTAATTTTTCTTACATGGTTGAGTTAAAGTTGAGATAAATTTTGAATATGAATTGAGTATGTGTATGAATATTTTTGTGAACAAACAATTTTTATTTCACGATCGATAATAGTTAAATAAATTTTCATGGTTCAATGAAGATGCACAAATTGGATGAATATATCTTATATCTCCATTTACAATTTTTTTCCAATTAACCATTAGTGTTATTGCAGCCATATCTATTCTTCACAACTTCCCCCATCAATATAATTTGCCATTTTGTCCCTACTGCAAAAAGAACAAATAAATAAAAGAAAACAGATATCTATGCCTATTTATAAAGCCAAAACACGAGACAATTTTTTCAATCACCACAAAAACACAACCTATTTTCCCCATAGAAAACTAGAAGACAATGGATACATCAGTACTCTTTTGTTTTCTCATACTACTCACAATATCTCATGCCCACACTACTAAAAACACAAGCATTACTCTCACAAACAACAAAGCCCATGAATTAGTAACCGATGCACTAATCCACAAGATTTGCCCGAAAACCGAAAACCCTGCCCTTTGCATGCACCACCTGAGCCGGTTCAAAGGCAAGCCCGTTATTCCAACAACACTAACTAACTTAATCGGGCTAGCAAAACACCACGCACAAACGGCCAAAGACAAGATTTCGGGCCTTTACAAAAAAACCGAAGAAAACAAACCCGAATTAAGACTGAGGTACCAAAAGTGTATCAAGACTTACGCGGATGCTCTGGGTCAAATGAATAGAGCTATTTATGGGTCAAGGGACTATCGAAACTTAGGACTCATCAAACAACATGCTTTGAGAGTCATATCCAATGTTCAATCTTGCACGATGGAATTGGCTAAACACAAGAGCGAGACTTTGGGTGTTATCAGTGATAACCGCATGTTCCAAGATATTGGAAGTGTCATAGTGGGCATATGTAATGAAACATCTTAGATTTTAATGAAGTTAATAAATTGCGACTGATGTTCAAATTGTCAACGGTGTAAAAGGGAGCCGAAAGGCTATCATCGATTAGCTAAAACTTATAATAATACAATCATTTAACCCTTTGAAGATGAAAGTAGAAAACCCATCACATTTACTAAGAATTTAAAAAATGTGCAAGATAACTCTCACATTCAAGAAAGAACCAAGCTAGACATATCTCATCTAGATTTTTTCAAAAAGAAAAAAAAAAATTAAAATACACGTATTCATCGGAACATGATGAAGAGTTGTTTTTACTCGCTCTCATAAGTTGGATTTTGACATTGTAAACAAGAAAATATGACTGTATAACGGTTAACTAGCCTAACAACAACATTTGTTATAAAACAAAAGTTTCTCATAATTTGTCACACTTATCTTTTAAATTTGTATCACCTTTCCTTATGCTTTCAAGTTCCAATCCATACATATATCTTTTGATTCTCCCATGTATTGCACAAAAAGAATACTGGTGAATAATAACTAATAGAGGGAGAAAATATATTTCGCAAACTAAACACCTTGCAGTTCACCTCTCTCTCTCTCTCCCTAAAAGAAAGAAAGAGAGAAATGAAAAAGATTTGCAGAGTTAAAAAAGGCAAAGTTCATTTTTTTTTCTGTATTTATCTATGACCATTACTAATAAAATATGCTTCAATGACAATAAATGACAATATGCAGAGATCATTTTGGACAAAGCATGGAGATCAATAGATGAATTCATTATTAGTTAAATATCATTTAACCAAGTTTTCTACTTATCAATAAAGCTTGGTGAATAGATTTGCCTTTCATAACTTGGCTCATCAGCCATCAGTATAGTTTTCCCTTTCATGCTCTCTCACCACACACAAAATATAACAATCACAACTATATATAAATATGTTCAAACAGAGTATATGTTAAACAATCTGTGTCCNAAAATGGAGCCCTGCATAACAAGTATCTCAACATTCTTGTTTATTCTCATAATCCTCACAAAATCTCAAACAAATAGTTCTCACAACACCACCACAGTTAACCTCACAAACAGCAAACTCCACATAATAGTCACAGAAGCACATATCAACAAGATTTGCTCTCAAACAAGAAACCCATCTTTTTGCATGCACACTCTAAGCCAATACCAAGGTCAAAACTTCATCCCTACAACTTTTGCAGGTTTGATAGGGACAGCAAAGCACCAGGCTCAAACAACAAGGGACAACATTTTCCGACTCGATGAAAATATTAAGGACAGGAATTCCGAACTCAAATCGAGCTATCGCAAGTGCTTGGAGAGATACAAGAAAGCTGCCAATCGACTCGAAGGAGCAAACAAGTCATTCACGAAAAACCCCAAAGAAATTGGATTCGTCAAGAAATTCGTTTCGGATGCAATGTCTGAGGCTCAGTCCTGCAACAAAGAATTGTCTCGTCAAGAAAACGAGCCATCTAACGTAGCTGGTGATATCCAGAAGTTACATGACCTTGGTAGCATCATCGTCTTCTTATGTGATCAAATATCAACTGGTCGAATTTCTAGTGACGTTAATTAGCGCTTCATTGCTCATGTTGTAGTCGAATTATAGACAGACGACCGATATCAATAAGCTGCATGAACAAAAACTATTTTAAAAAAAAAAATCCATTAATACTACTGGAAACACACTTATGATAATCTTATATTCAGTTTCTAATTACGATACACTTATTGCAGTTTTCTACACCATATTTATGATTGAGAATAGGATACTAAAGAGATGAAATCTACTAAACTAACTTGTTTAAGGGATGAAACTCTTAAACTTTTTAAAACTTTTAGAATTCTTGTATATTCAATTGAATCTTTTCGAGACTTCCAAAAAATCTACATGTATTCAATTGAGATTTTAAATACTTTTTATAAATCTCTAAAAGTCTCAAGAGTCTCTAAGTCACCCAATATCTAAAACAGAAAGATTTTTGGAGACTTGTTTGAATTTTAATAAGAATTACAAAGACAAAGTTCTAGTAGAAATCTAATGGTGAGATTTTGGTGAATCAATGTGACTCTCTTCAAATCCTCTTTTCCCCATATGGTTTAATATGCACAACTATATCACTTTCATATTCTGTTATTTTAATCATTTATCTGCTTGTATATTTTTTTTTTCATTACAAATGCTTAACATGATTTTTATTTTATTTATTTATTATTATGACTATTTTATGTATGTTGACTTTTATCCTCTCATTTAATCGATTGTAAATTTGACTTTATAAAGGTCAAATGTTTGTATTATTTGCACCTACTAAGAATTTCACTTTCATCATTGTATTTTGACAATGTATCTTGTATAAATATATCCTAACAATAGCAGCATTATGCAAAACATAAAAAAATAAAATAAAATTCAACAATAATCACATAAATATGTCATGACCGGGTTAATTATGAGTGTCATTCCATCCGAGACAAGTAACTCGTGTTTGAGCTTGTACTCATTTAAAACGAATATAAGACTTTGCTCGAGCTTGCGACAGCTCTGATCGACCTGACTCGTTAAATGAACTTAAGACCCTAAACGAGTTACTGAAAACAAAATATTTTCCAAGCAAGTACGACACGATTGTATAATTTATGAAAAATACATAATTAAAAGAATGAGTAGTTCATGAACAAACTCACTTCAATTCATTTAATAACAAACTCGATTAGTTGTTTGAACTCAACTCATTTAAGAAAACGAATGAGTCGAGCTTGAGCTTTCACAAGCAGAGTTGGATTGTTTCGCGAATAGCATAATTTGACAATTTTATGGTTGATCCATAATTTTTTAGAGAATTATTTATTCATCTTTTTATCAATTGTAATGCTACATTTTTTCTTTCTTTTAGTTGTATAGTTGTTTATAGTTGAATAGTTGTTTACTATCAGAACCCATTTTAAATTAATATTTTTTTTAATAAAAAAACTAGCTTTATTTTATTGATATTAGTTATAATGCTAGATTCATGCAAATGTAATAGTTATACATAAATACATAAAAGTCTCAATAAGTTTCAAAAGGTACACGATAGAAGTTTTAAAAAGTCTGATAAGAATTCCATGAAAATCTTAGAATGTCCACCAAATTTATTAAAATTTCACAAAGTCCACAAAAGTCACTCACTTTAAAAAGTTCAAAAAAGTATATAAAAGTTTCAATTCAACATATCCCTCTAAATATATCAACATATAATTTCAATATATCCCCCTAAATTTATCTAACATATAATTTCACTTACACTTTCATCTTATTAGAAAAGTTGGGACATGCGGATTAATTCATTTCAATGTGTCATTTACACTAATTTCCTATCAAATCAAAAGCTACTCAAACAGATTTATACTCCATAACTTCCTCATTAATATATTTTCCATCCATTTTCTTTCTTCCTGATGAACAAAAAGTCAAAAGTACACCTATAAAAACCCACACACCACAGCTTTCCACATACATTGGTCAGTCCAAACATATTTTTCATATATACTCTGTCCTGGAAAATTCAAAACAATGAAGCCCTCTCTTATTAGATTAACTATATCATTCTTGTTTACTCTCATACTTAGAACAAACTCTCAGGCCAACACAATCATGAATCTCACATACAACAAAGCCCCTAAAACCGTTACAAACAACAAAGCCCCTAAAACCGTTACAGATGCACTAATAGACAAGGTTTGCCAGAAAACAGAATACCCTCCCATTTGCAGGCAAATCCTGGTAAAATTCAAATACAGTCCTGTTGTTCCAACAACTCTATCAAGCATTATAGTGCTTGCAAAAAACCATGCTCAAATCACGAAAGGCAAGATTTCAAGCCTTCACAAAGGAATCAAAGAAAACGTATCCGAGCTGAGATTGAGGTACCATAAGTGTATCAAGAATTACGAGCATGCTCTCACTCAACTAAACGCAGCTAGTGAAGGGTCATTCAGAATTAAACTAAACATAGCATCCATCAAAAAACACATTTTGACTGCCATATCCGATGTTCAGTCTTGCACAACAGAGTTGGCTAAACAGAGGAACGAGATTTCGGGCCTTACCAGTGAGAACCGCAGGTTCCAAAATATTGGCAGTGTCATATTGGGAATATGTGACGAAATATCATAGATAGACTTAATTTTCTCTTCTTCATGAAAGTGGTGAATAATGAAAGTGATAATGGAAGAATAATAAAACGAAGGTCTAAATTATTTCGAGATATATGATGAAGTATCTCAGATAGATTTGTTCTAATAAAGTTAATCAATATTAATATCATCTATTCCAACTTTAACAAAGGCCAAGATGACTCTCCCATTTAAGAAGAAACAAAACACTCTGACACTTACCTACATATATACGAGCAACAAATTCCAAGAAACATATATTCATCCAAATGATCAAACTCTCCATCCTCACGACACCACCTCCGGCAACAGGCTCCAAGGTCAGGCCCAAAGTCCTAAAGCCCAGATAATAGAGTGAAGGGCTGATTACAAGAAGAAATCCAAAACTAGAATTCAGAATTAATTGAAAACAAAAGAAACGGGAAGAGTTCAAACAATTGCAGTCGAGCTGCCCAAAGCGCGAACGCCGATCAGGATTTCTCCTGCCTAAGCCAAAGGATCCTCTATTCTCTCCCCACCCCCCAACTTTTTTGAATGTGCATGAAACACACAACGGAAAAGAGGCGTGAGGGTCATGGGCCCACATCAATCAAGCCCATGTGCAGATGGCTCCCACATTTTTATTTCTATTTTAAGTTTTTTTTTTTGGCTTTTTATATTCAATTTGTAATTTAACATTATTTCTTTTTCTTTTCATATTCAATTGTCATGTTCTTAATCTAATTTTTTCCCTTCACTTTATTTTCTTATTTCTTCTTATTTAAAATTTAATAAATAAAGTCCAATATATAATATTTTTAAAAAATGAAAAAGTTCAATTTTAATGCAAGGACTTAATTTCCTTCTTTCATTTTTTATTTTTATATTAGAAACTATGGTTTTTTATAATAGTTTAATAAAACTTTGATTAATATACATAATTATTAAAATGTTATATTTGGAATATAACTAAAAACCTAAAAATATCAATTGATATTTTTTTGATATTACTTATTATTTTATAATTTAAAATAATTGAATTATGAACTCTAAATGTTATTCTAATTAGTCCTACACTTTTTATTTTATTAAAATTGAATAGTGATGGTAAACAAGCGCAAGGTTGCAGTCATCAGTGTCTTGTCATCCACCAATCATTTATATAATTATAAATAATGCAATATAGATATATATAATTATATTATTTTTTTATCTGTATTTATGAAAAATATATGAAACATTTAGATTGAATAAATATAAAAAGTGGAGTTGTGGCTTTAAATTATTAATAAAATATTACGAGTATAATATTAAGTAAAAATAAGTGGGAAACATGGGAGACCCATTAAGAATGAGGTTGATGAGGTTTATTGTTATTCGAGGTTTATGAGTGTAGGAATAAGAATAAGGTTTTTGATGATGTGGCATGTTTGAAATTGGAAAGTGTAAAAGGAGGTTTATAAAGCTTGAGTTGATAAAGATGCTCTAACTCACCAAGCCATCCAGAGTATCAGCTTCCAGACAGGCGAACCCCACTTCTGCCAGCTCAGACGGAATCAGCGGTAACTCAGATGGCCCAAAGGCACGCCATTGAAACCTCATGTATTATGGGAATGCTATGAACTTTCTCATCAAAGCCAACAATTCGTTGGACATTGGGAACATCCCGAACGTGAGAATTTACAGCTCAGAGGCCATGAAGGACGTCTATGAGTGCTGTCAGAGGAAAACCAGAGGTTTAGGAATATCGTTAGTATTTCGTATGTGATTTGTAGTACACTGTCAGACAGGGATTAACTGAGCCAAAATGCCCGGTCAACGATTGGTAATAATAATTTCAAAATAAGTCACCACGTGTCGTGATCAACGAGTATTTTCAGATAATGGTGTTTTCAAATGTTTCAATGTTAGTTATTTCTTGTTGTAGTTTTATTTTCGGTCATTTGGTTATCCGTTATCGATAACCAAGTTTTGGCTGATTATTCTGGGGTTATAACAAAGGGGAAAAATAATTGCAGCGGAATTCAACCCCAGAATTAAACTACTACAGGAAACATTACAGATTCCTCACATTCCAAGAAAAATGTTCACAATTTGTGTTTATTCTGACATGTGCTTTCGTAATGTATCAACTTCTTTGTTACATGCCATATTGTCGGCTTAAGGAAAAATAATACAGAGTCAAGATATGTTTTTCCCTTGTCAAAGCAAACAAAATTGAAGTATTCTTACTATTATTCATCCCCCAAATGTACCTGAAGATATGTGTAGTGTGGATAAGATCTTCATTTATCTCCAAAAAAGTGCGGCCCTTAAGCTCAACCTACATAAGATTCAGGAAAATAATTAAACTAGCTCATATTTTATAAACCTTGCAGATCAGTGAGATTTCATTACGCTCATCAGATATAAGTATAGAGATAAGTATCACAAGCTAAAGGAGCTAAGCATGCATTAAACATTACCCTAATCACAGAAAATAAAAGCGAACCTCAGATTTTATTGTAATTAATCATTCATCAATATACTTTTCCACTTCTTGTCCAATTTCACCTATATATATTCCTCCCAAAACCATACTCCGGAAACCATACTCCCTAACCAGAGAAGAAGTTCAAGAAAATGAACAAACTCTCCATGCTCAATTCATTCTTGTTCGTCCTTCTATTCCTAACAGCAATATCAACCCCAACTAATGGCTCAAAAAACGAAACCATTACCAATACTGACCTCACACACATTAAGCGCCCGTTAGTCATCTTGGTCACCGATGACATCATCCGCAACATTTGCTACCAAACAAAGGACTTCAACCTCTGCCAACACATCCTGCACGAGTTCAGGGGAAGAACCCTCTTTCCCGAGCCCCTGGCCCGCATTCTCTCGACCGAGATGGAGCTCATCAAGTCAACCCTCAGGAAAATCGTGTGGGCCCAAGAAAGCACGCGTGACCCAAACAATTTTTCGGCACTGAGGCAGGTTTACAACAAATGTCTGAACGAGTACACTCTGGCAATGGACCTGCTGATTAGAGCTGAAAGGAGCGTGCGAATTGTTAAAGTGAAACAGGTGAGAGAGCTTGCTAAGGGTGCCTCCTCAGCAGTCGATTCGTGCAACCAGGCGCTGACTAGGCAGTGGCAGGACAGGTCGGGACTGTCGGAGGATAATCAGAAGTTTTACAACCTTAATGGCATCTTGTTGGTCATATGTAATGCCTTGAAGGGCAGGAAGTAGATGATTATGACAATGTGAGGAAATAAATAATGGAACTTTTGGTAGTTCAATGTTTGAATGCATTCAATGTACTCAATATATATCCTTGAAAGTATGAATTTCTAAGTATCGATATCTGAAATTTTGAAAGATGTATGAAACAGAGTAGAAAAACCCTAACGATTTATTTACCGAGGATCAGATCCGTCGGTAGCTACCGGTAAAATTACGTCGGTTTACACGAAATTATAACTTGCCGATTGTTGCTGGTGGTCGGTAAACCGTCAGTCGTTTGGCGGCAAGCCGGCGGTTCCGATCGCTGGCGAGTAATTTAACCCAAAATCCCAAACAAATATGGGTCAAACTTCGACGGTATTTCCGTTCGGGGCTGAGTACAAATACCGATGGCCGTAAAACCGGTTGGTGCGGTTAGTGAAAAACGGCGTCGTTTGCTCAACAAACCTACCGCCGGTATTTCAATTCGGGGAGGGGTACAAATACCGACGGCCGTCAAGTCGGTTGGTACGGCTACTCAAAGACGGTGTCGTTCTCTATAGCAAATGAAGCACGAGTGATACATTGTACGACGGCGTTCGGTGCTGTAGGATTGTACCGATGAAATAGTTGTAGGTCGGGAATAAACCGACGGCCGCGAAGCCGTCGGTAGTCCGTGACGGTTACTTGCAATCTTTATTCAATTAAGTTCGAAAATTGACCCGATTAGCCAATTGGACACATTTTTTTTCTTCCTCTTTTACAAATGATATTTTAATTGTTGTGAATGAATTATTCAGGAATGTTAATTCGGAAATTATTTGTTACAATGTACAATAAAATTACGAGTTATTAAACATTTAAATACAAATTGTTTATTTATTTCCGAAATCATAAAGATATATGGACCTTTTGCAATTAAACTCATCGGACGTATTTTAACCATGCAGATTTTGCATCACTTTGGTCTTAACACATAACACATACTAGTATAAGTCCCGTGCAATGTACGGGCAAGAGATATTTATTAATATTTATAGTTAAAAATTCTTATTAAATTTTACCAAAAAAAAAATTTATTTAATAATATTTATAAATTTAAAATATGGAATTAATATGTAATACAATTTACTTATATTAATTTATTGAGAGTGTTATATAAAGTCTAAATTGTGCAAAATTACATAAAAATGTCTATTTAAAATTAGTATACAACCCGTGTGGTGCACATAATTGATAATAAATTACATTATATTCGTTTCAAAATAAGTGCCATTCCAAAATTTTGATTCAGAAAATCGATTTGACTATATGTGATTCCATAAAATAGTTATTTTGGTAAAATGTTATCATATATTTAACCGTCTATGTGAATAATAAGTATAAATATAAAATTTATATTGTTTCATTACTTCAAATAATTTATTATTGTATAACTATTAAAATAAAAAAAAAATTAAGTAGTTGAGTAATTTATTAAATTATAAATAATTGACTATTTCGTTTACGTCCAAGTTAATATTGACCCGTAAGTTATATAATTGACTATTTTGTTTACGTCCAAGTAAATATTGACCCGTAAGTTATGAATAATTATTTTTTATTTTTAAATTTAAATAAAAATCTTTTTATTTTTTTGTAATATATTATATACTAAATTTAAACCATGTAACTAATAAAGGTAATAGCTGTAAGTTTTGTCAATATATTATATTCCAAATTTAAATCATGCAACTAATAAAGGCAATAGCCGCAATATCTGACCAAAATGATTCTGTACATTAATTAGGCGGGATTTTTTCAAATTTTGACAAAAAATATTACTCAAATAGTTTAGGCGGGAAACCAAATGTTATTTTACCTCTTTTTAATAAAAAGAGATTTAGATTAAATTAAGTTTATACGTGTGGAGTGAAAAACAATAAACATAAGTAAAAAGATCTCTATATGATTTGTATAATGGTGAACCGTTGGCTTTTTATTTTACAATAATACGTAAATGACTTTTTTCTAGTACAGCCACTCTATTGTCCACTTCTAATAAACTTTACTCGAATGAAGATTAGCGGGAAAAATAATGTATATAAAAGATGTACATTCCAAATAATTAAGTTTAGTTATCGCGAAGTCCTCTTCATCGTTTTTAGGGTAGATTTATTATATTTATATGGATAATATATCTAGCATAATTGTATTTTTAAAGATAATAAATCGATGAAAACATAATATGAAATATATACCTTTATCATTAGTCTCCACCAATTTGATTACTTTATTTGTATAATTTTGAAATGAACTCTTTACAATGTATTTGTTTTTTTTTTAATTATTATTTAAGTTGTATATATTGCATAACTATATGTTGAAAAAATAATATTTTTCTATTGAAATATGCGATTTATATATATGTATATAAAAACTTATAAATTAATTTTTCAATAAAGATTAAATTTTGTATTTTTATTTTTTATTATAGCATTCCCATTTAAAAAATTGTTACCATGATTAGTGTAAAAAGTTTAACAAAATAATTGTCACGTGTAAAAAGATTAATAAAAAAATAAGGTTTTCATGATAATGGATTTGTATATATCTAAATCATCTTCTCCTGCAATAGCGCAACATCCGTCCGCAGAAACGTGTTCATAAGAGAAGAATTAACTCAAGAACTGAATTTAACCAAATAAATTACAAACTCATTTCCTTTTTTCACGGCTAATTATCTTAAATAATTACTCATTTGATGGATGATACCATAATTTAAACTCGGCTTGATTACCTAAAAAACAGGAAATAAAAAACAGATCGATAGACATATGAAAATGTGATTTGTAGATAGGTGAGTTTAGTCAAACAAAATCTTTTATATATATATATATATATATATATATCTATACAAATGAAATCCAAATCCCAAAAAAACTGAAAACGTGCATGCATGGAATAAAAACAATTCAAATACTTGCATGAAAAAATTTTAAATTAAACTTTAGGGGAGAAAACAGCTTTTAAGCGGGAAATTGAAATATTTTTTCAAATATTTTTTCTTCTCTATATTTTATAGTAATAGATATTAAATACACTTTCCTATTGCACAAAACAGTTTTTCCATTTTTTCCTTTCCTCTACTACAAATGAAACAGAAGAATTTAAACAGAAACTCACACATTTTCACCTTGCCACAAACAATCGACACTCAACAATGCCATCGTCATATTTCCTCAGAGCAATCACGCTTACTTTCATACTCCTAAACCTATCAGACAATACCTCCACGCTTCCAGACAAAATTGAGAGGGTAACACAAAAACTCATCCAAGACATTTGCTCGAAAACAATAAACCCGTCTCTCTGTGTAAACAACCTAAACCCGTTAAAAGGCACTCGACTTTTCCCCAAACCATTGTACGTGCTTGCAACGAACTCGATCAGTGCAGCAAAATCGAATGCCGACAAAATAGCCATCGTGCTTCAAGAATGCACTCATGGCAAACCTTACCTTTTCTCTCTTTGATAGGCCAAAGCATATCACATCCATCGGTTTGCTTGACATTAAAACCAGCGGTTTACTGAGATACCAATTTTTAGAAAAATCAGTTATTTTAGTGAGTGTGGCTCGACTTTGACTGATTTTTTATGGTTAAATATTTAATTTGAGTGGAATTAAATTATATAGGAATTAATTCCACCCGCAAGCAACCAAGGATGTGATGAGGATCGATGCTTTTAATGTACTTGTAACATTTTTTTATATGACTAGAGCACAACAAAACGATTTGGTCATAGAAGTTCTCATTGGCTTAAATGACACTATTCATCTCTTAGGAGTCATATTATGCTATTCTCTCATCTTCCTTCCTTGCTCAAAGTCTATTCCCTACTTGAGGAAGAGAGTCAACGTAGTTCACACAGTTGTAGTAAATCATTTGACTCTCTTGCCATGCTTGCCAAAACGACTTTCCATTTCAATTCTAATAGGCATGGTAAACCTCAGTTTTTTAAAGATAAGCCCAAACGGAAATGTTTTACAATCACCCTTCAGAAACCTGCTATCAGATTATTGTTATCCATCTCATTAGAAAGAAACATTTAAATTATTAAACAGCTTGCGGCACGAGCATCACCCTCCTCCTCGTTGGGCGCAGGGCCCCCGACAGCTTGACCATCAATCGAATGGTGTGGCTGACAAGGAGCAGGGCCATGAGGACGGCCCACACGATGACATACCATCCCACCACGTAGAGGATAGACTTCTCTTGCTCAGTTGGCGTGAGCGCGAATATGGCAAACACGTACGCCAGCGCGACCGCCGTGATTGCAACCCACGTCATCACCATGAGGGCCCACACAAAGAGCCTCCGGCGCAAAGGCAACCCGCTCACGAGCAACAATATGATACTCAGGGAGGCCACGAGGCCCGTCGTGTTGACCCCATAAAACCTCACGTACGACCCCGGGTAGTTGTGCGCCAGTATGGCGTACCCCGCCACGTGGGGCCCACCGTCGTCCTGCCACACCCCGCTTGGGGGGTTCACCCCGACTTGGAAGGCCATGGTCGCGATAAGGGAGGCCACCACCATTAGTGAGTTCCGCTTTTGCTCTAGCCAGTGCTCGTGCTGCACTGGGTTTCGGGCGGCAGGCGTGGGGCCATTTCCGAGGCATTCTTGAATTTGTGGGTCCCTAAGAGGGTCCGGTTTCGTTCGGATTAGGATGTCGGACGGCGTCATTCGGTTGAGGTTTGGCGCGTTCACTTCCAATCCGCAAACGCTCGTCAAGAAGTCGACCGTCTATAAATTAAGTTATAACATTGGAATATCGGTGGATTAATATTAATTTATTTGCTAAAGATTGATAACTAAAAACAGGGTCAAAATTCATTATACAGCCCAAATAAATATATATACCTCAACTTGCTTATCCGCCACAGCTAAATGCAAGACGGTATTTCCATCATCATCTCTAGCGTTGACCAATTCGGGCCCTTCAACAGCCCTCACAAGAAGCTTCAAAGCCTCCAACTGGTAATATCTCACGCACAAATGCAAGATAGTTTCTCCATTATACACTCTGAATCGAGCCACGTCGGATTTTGCCTGAAGAAGCACTTTCAACACCTCGACTCGGCCTTTGACTGCTGCCAAATGAAGAGGAGTGAGCCCGTTCTTATCACGGGCCGTGCATGAGTCAGGATCAACACTTAGAAGGGCCCGAACTATGTCAACGTGCCCTTTACCCGATGCCAGATGCAGAGGAGTCGATTGTTGTGAGTTGACCTCGCTCGTGAGATGAGGCTTTATCCTTATGATTTCCTTTGCAAAATCGACATGGCCTAAAATGGCCGCCACATGCAGAGGAGTTTCGGATGAATAGTTCAATGAAACTCTGTCGAGAATTAGCGGATCTTTGTTCAGTAGACTCTGCAGTAAATCGATGTTCCCGGTCAAAGCTGCTTCGTGTAGCTTTTTTTCGAGGCTCTCCATTTTTTAGTGTTGAGAATGTGAAACAATTAGCTGAATTATTGAATATTTGTGGCAAAATATAAGTCTCTTTGACTTATAAGTCAAGCTCATGTGTTCTTTGAACAAGTCGGGCAAGGTTATAAAATCAGATAAATTTAACAATGATACAGATTTTGGCAATGTATCATTTGTTGAAATTAGAACTTTTTTAGCTTAATTTTTTAGTACTTTTTATGACCATGCATCCATAATTGGCTCGTGTCAATTTAGGCTCTTTATACAGTTATTGACTTTTTTTTAACAACTCTGCACGAAACATTAAAATATGTACAATTTAAGTGTGTTTAGTAAGACTTTAAGAGATTGAATTTCAGCTTTAAAATGCTTTTATTTAATTTGTAATAATGTTTAGAATTAACTTATAGCTTAAGAAACGCTCTTATTTGGAAATGTTATCCTCTTATTTGGAAATGTTAACTTTTCAAGGACTACATGTTATCTGATGGGTTTAGTTTTTGGGGAGTGCAGCTCTGTCTACCGGATCGCAGTCCCCATCAAAAGTTGGTTGCCGACATTCATGGTGCGGGTTACGTGGGTCGAGATCGTTCTATTGAGTTGGTCCAACATTTTATTATTTTTTTTTTCTGGTTGTTGTGGAGGCGTAATGTGACGCGCTTTGTTGAGCGTTGACGGATCTGTCAGGTGTCTAAAGGCTTTCCGTCTAGTGTCGGTCTTTATCGCCCTTTGCCTATCCCGTCACAGCTGTGGTGTGCGATCAGTATGGATTTTATACTTGGCTTGCTGCGCACGCAATAAAGACACGAATCTATTTTTGTGGTGGTTGACTAATTTTAAAAAATGGTCCATCTTATTTCGTGCAAGCGCACGATTGACGTTGTGCATGTGGCGCAGCTGCTCTTTCGCGAGGTGTATTGCTTGCATGGTTCACCTTCGTCTATTGTTTCTGACCGTGATACTTGGTTCCTCATCTTCTTTTGGCGTAGTTTATGGCGTCAAGTTAATACGCGGTTGGATTAGCAGTGCATATCAATTGCAGACAGATGGTCAGACGGATGCCGTTAATCGCTCGCTTGGGAATTTGCTGCGTTGTTTGGTGGGCAAGAACTTGCAGAGTTGAGACCAGAGGCTCAGTCAGGCCAAGTTTGCCCATAATTCATGTGGTATACGAAACTGCGCTCGCCTTCTTAGAGAAGCGTGATCGTCTGACGTCCCTAATATAATTATTTGTTTATCTATTTATTATTATTATTATTATTTTATTATTATTATTATTATTTAATTTGATAGGTTAATATTTATTTATTTGTCCCCCTCATTTTCTTATTAGGTAAGTCAACTAGTTAGGGCTTTATGTGATTTTATTTATTTGTTTCTCCTTCATGTGGCCGATCGGTCAAATTTTTATGAAATAAGAATATATTAATGACAGTTTTCTCTGTTATTTTCTCAATCGTACGCTTTCACAATGTCAAATGAAAACATGAGATTCGATCAATGAAAGAAAGAAATTGAGTATAGAATATTTCTATGAGTTGACATGAAGACAAAAGGATGAGAAGCCACGAGTGAATCTATCAAATCTGAAAACAAATTTCGACCATGGATGTTTGCAATTTATAGGGATCTATTTTCGAAGCCTAATGAGAAGATCTTGAGAGGTTTTCAATTTATGATGAACCTACATTCCTTTAATACTTTAGTATATATTGGAGTTCACAAACTCTGAGCGTAAGAGAGCCATTTCACACATTGACTTTGTTTGAATGTCAGCGGATTGATGTAAAATTAGCATATTGAACCTCACTTAGAGGTTTGACTCATCAAATCTGTTAATTAGCTTATTTGGTAAAGAGCTTATTCGATTAGCCTTTTTAGACCAAAACGCTCATTCAGAAAAAACTCAAAAGAGGAGCATTTTGAAAAGAAAGAATTTGTAAATTAACATGCCAGCATAACATTTCTAAAATAGTTATACAATTCGCTATTTACGAAATAATTATTTACAAACAACTAATACAATCTGCTACTTAACCCAATCATTACAATCCGCTATCATGTATTCACTAGTACAATCAACTATTCGCTATATGCTATCCGCTAATAGCCAAACATGGTCATTTAACTAGGAATTTAGAGAATAATAGCTCGTAACGTTGATTATATTTCATAAGGAGTCATCTGATTCTACCGTACATCATCTGGAATTCACTGTTTTTGTTACTTTTATATTGGGTGCATATGATAATATAGCTAGGTCAGAAGAGTAGTTGAGGGAGAGAGAGACGTTTTTTGAAAGTTGATTTTATTAGTTTGACTTCCATAATTTACATGAACTTAACTTGCATTAATTGATTTTAATTTACACACAACTAGTGTTCTTCCCCCAAATTTTCATACAAGTTAGTCAACAGCCAACATGGAAGCCAGTTCTCAATCATATAATTTGAAACCAATAATAATTTTTCAGTGTATAATTGGTGAAGGTCACATAAGCAAAGCGTGCATTCAAGAGCTGCACCGTATGATTCCAAATTTTCAATATATAAATTGCTATCATTTATTTTAAAGACAATTTTTATGTTAAACATAGCTCAATCGGTTTACTAAGCCGCCTTGAAAAGCCTGTCTCAAACGAGTTCAGCTCATATAGCTCAGGAATAGGTCTTGACTCGCCTTCATGTTGTCCAATTAATTATAATATACTTGGTTTAGTTAATTAATACCTTAATAGATCAGGTGTTAACCAAGACGAATATAACACATGTATGCAATGCCTATCAACGAACCACATTATTACAATGATTTACATCACACTTGAAATTGTACACATAACTGTCCATGAATTAAAAACCGTTGTATTCCATAAAGAATTGGCATTATAAGGAATTCCAATTTAACCAAAACTCTTAAATCGAAAAGAGATGGAGAGTGTCATTCAATCGAAAAAGAAAGAACACGACAGCACAACTGACGGGCTCAACAAACCATGGACCATAATCCAGATGACAAAATAGACCATACATGCAAGTGGGCCAGAACACTCGGGCCTCTGATTAGGCCCGTGAAGTTTATAGTTTTGAAACTTCACCACAGGTCCACGTGCACCGGACAATTTAGTGACAATAACCAATATCCAAATATGTCGGCCTCAAATTATTAATTCAAAAGTGGTTTACGTCTACATGAAATTGTCATGGTAGACTTATTATAGAAGCAATTTTGGTAACTTAGAACTTAATTAAAAACTAATAGTACTGCTATATTGTAAAACCATGCAATGGAATCTAGGCATTTTATAAATTAATTATTCTGTGTCAATTGAAAGGAGTAAATGTCTGTCAGAGCTTGAATGGTAGCAATATCTATGCAAGAAGAGCACTGGCCCAGGGTTTGCTGATTAAATGTTATAAAAAGACAAGGATGACAGCAAGATTTCAACCAGGATTTTCATGCAATAAATTAAAAAATAAAAAATAAAAAAATCTTGATTAAAAATAGTACTTTATTTGCAACTTTATTTCAGTTCAAAATGTTTCCATTAAACAATATACAAAATAAATTATATAATACTATATCTTATTACATGGAAAGATGAACCAAATGCTTGGCTAATCAACATGTTCCTAGTGTCGTTGACATGTTGGGTATTGTGCTTAATTTGTTTAATTTTTTATTTTTTTTTTTATTTAATAGAAAATATGCAAAGTAAATTGAAAGCCAGTATTTTGAAGGTCTTTTTTTCTTTCGCAAATTTTACTAATTTATCAATAATCGGATCGCGATGTTAGAGTACCGTTGTGTCCGTATGTGCTTATTTAAATATAATTGGTCCTTAAATTGGTCAAACTCGCAATAAATTAAATTACATGTTTGCACAATCAATTTCCTTAATAAAATGTTCACTTTTTATTGTGTTGTCAAATGTACACAACGCTTATGGATATCACTTCATAAAGAACCTCAATATGAGTCTTGGGCAGTTCCCTTTTACATGCAGTTTAATAACCTGTGTTGTTATATCCATGTAAATCTGTTCTGTTATATCCATGTAAATTCGGTATTTTTAAAATCATAGAACACTTTAATAACTTAAATTGTAGAAAATTTAATAATTTGCTATTTGTTCGTCTCTTTGCGTAAATAATATATAAAATTAATTATATTTTCAAAAAAAAATTTAATATTTATTTAACATTAGTATTGCATATATAAATAACACAAAATAATATTTACCTTATAAATAAAAACTTATTTTTTCTATTAATCCTATTTAGAAACAATGAAACTATTGATATGCATTGTTGTAACTTTTAAGAGACAAATTGGAATAATAATGAAACTATCCATTTGACAAAACCTCGTGTAAATTTGGTTAAGAAATTATCATGATCTGTATAACCTGTCATTTCGAATAAAATAATAATGTAATATTGTATGTATAGCAAATTCTACAATTCATATCTTTATTAATTCAAACTAACCTGAATTGCAAATGTAGTTTATAGAATGAGTTTGGTAAATTTATAAACTTTTTTTTTATTTAAATAAGTGTGTTGACATCCGAATTTGTCCCCAAAGGAAGCCGAACAAGGCAACTTCGAGAACCGGGCCGGGGACCCGGTCTAGCATGTAGATGCCGAGCTGAATTCCAAAAAAAAAACTTTTCGGTCCTGACACCCCCATGAGTCCGTCCGTTAGCCCGGCGTTTGAGACAGTAAAGTTTCGGTGTCGGCCTGACTAATGACGACCTGGAAGAAGGCTCCCCGTAACTGGAGGAACAAACCGGGAAAAGGTGCCGACCTGGGGTCTCAGAACGGGCCTCCACAATGAGAAATGTCGATCTCGATAATAGTATAATAATGCCACTTGGAGAGTAATCATTGGTGATTGGACGGGACGTCTAGCCTGCTGACCTACTTCCCCTAGCCAAGACATAAAGCCTGCCAGCATTAATGACCCCCATGAGCACATTAAATGCCCGTCAGGCAATGATGAGGAAAACCTCAAATCGCATTAAATTCTGTCAGGGAGGCGCCGAACTGCTCTGCAAGAACACTGTACGACAAGACTGGTGAACAGTGCCTGAACAGTGTCACATTTAAGGCCACTATAAATAGCAGCCCACTTCATTTATTTTGGGTTGTTGAAAGTCAACTGTAAAAGCTTTTTCTTTACTTTCTCTCTCTACACTTGTAAGAAACTCGTGTAAGAAACTGCAAGTATATCGCAAGTGCCGACCTCGTACGAGAGGCCGACCTCGTGATCTCTTAATAAAATCATAATTAAACCATAATTCTTTGTCTTTTTCCCATTATCTTTTCATTACTTAACTTTTTAACCGTTGACCGTAAACGTCCGTCAACAAAGTGTTTTTTTCTTTCTTTCTTTGGTAAACCGACCATTGTAAAAATATTTAAAAGTTGGAAAGCTTTTTAACAAATTTCATTGATTTTCTTTTAAGTATCAAGTAATTCAATCAAACATTTGTCATTATATCAACTAAGTTTTTATTATGTCATCAATTATATACTATTAGATTTTGACTTGAAAGCTATCAACTAATTTATCAACTGTCATCTATTTTTTCAGTTAGATTTATCAACATGCTACCTTATTTTTTAACTCTAAAGTCACTTATAAGTTATCAACTATCATCTATCTTTTTTCGCTATATTTATGTACGCTTAATTTAGCAACAAGATATTAGATTGACCTTTTAAATTTTGAAANAAAAAAAAAAAAAAAAAAAAGCTTTTCAATTCATGAAATTAAACTCAAGTATGTGTAATTTCACATACACACGACACATAGATATAATAAAGTGGGCCCAATCAAAGAGAGCATCCAAGGCAACATATGTTGTGATTCTATCCGCCATATTTTCTTTGCACAGACTTTAGAGATTTCTTTGTCTGCTTTAATTTGTGTCTAATTAATTACTTTAAAATAAAAGTCATTTATTTAACTACGACTTTTCATGATCTACCGGGCCACGCACAAACACGGGTCGTGCCTTTTCAAAATCCAGTAATAATAATAAATAATAATAATAATAATAATAATAATAATTGTTCGCATTCCCATTTTTGTAATTATTCACTCATCAGTAAAGACTACTCATTACTCGAGCGGGAATAAGCCGTTAATTTTTTGAATTTCAAATATAAAAAAACGGCTCACTCACTCACTTGTTGCTGTTGGCCACGACAGAGCTGAACTGTTTTATAAAACGATAAAAGTTAAAACAGTACACATAGTTGTGGTCTAATCTCTTTTAGTTTTATTATTATCCAAATTAATAGGGCAATTTTATTTACTTTTAAGTTTCCATAATTATTTTAGTACAAATGTAATTATTAATGGGAGTTTAAATTGAATCTCACTTTTAACTAGTCCAAACTCGAGTATTAGGAATTCAATCAACTAGTGCACATTTATTAATTACTCATTGTAACATAGATTTTTTATTTTTTAGTGGTTAATTATTTTTTTTCTTCATTATCTATATTCCCATTCCCATTTCTGTTAATCTTTTACAATCATAATATTTCAAGGTTTAAAAAAAAACTACGATATTTTCAAAAATCTATATTGTTTACCCATTTAAGAGAGATTCTCCATCAATTTCTATAACATAAAAACTGAAAAGGAAAAAAACCTACTTAATCACCAACAGTAAAAATAAATAAGGAAATTAAAAAATTCGTATTTAATTTTTTGGACAAAAAATACCATAATGATTATATAATTGTTAAATTCAACTGAAGCCTCTTGAAGGGAAGTACCCCAAAGACCCATTAATGCTTGCACCCATATTCAAGTTTTATTCTTTTAAAGCTGAAAAAACAACTGTTTTTACAGCTCTTAAAAGCTCTGTACCTCGCCATTGCTTATCAGTAGCTTCACACAGCTCATAAAAAAGCATACACTAGTTTTGTCCCCATTTCTTCACCCTTTTTTTTTCATAAAAAAATTTCCTGCTTTTGATAATCACTGTCTCTTTCTTGAAATAACAGAGAGATTTATTTGTTGCTGTGCTGTTCAAAGGGTTGTACTGAAATGGGGGCTTCTGGCAAATGGATTAAAACACTGATAGGGATGAAGAAGCCTGATAAAGACGATAATGTAAGCTTTACAAAATGTTTGGAAAGATCATTTTTTTTGGGGGGCGGGATTTCTTGCTTTCAAGCATTATTCAGCTGTGGTTAACAAAGATTTTTTCTTGCTCACTTTATATGGGCCTTTGAGTGTTTGGCCATGGTTACCAAATAGAGGTGAAGTTACTAATTTTTTTTTTTTAAATTTTCATTTAGCTAGCATTTTCCTCGATGTCTCTGTTAAATATACGTTCCCCTGCTAATTTTATTACCCTTTTTGTCTGTTTTGTTCACTTTGTGTTTAAAACCACTGTCTTTTCAAAAGGAAAAAGTTGGTGGAAAGGGCAAAAAATGGAGGATTTGGAGGAGTTCGTCGTTGGATCTAAGTGGGTCCTCATGGAAAGGATTCAAAAAACTGAGCGGCTCAAATTTCTCCACAGAATCTTCATCCATGAACAATGATGCTTTTAATGCTGCTGTTGCAACTGTGGTTAGGGCTCCTCCTAAAGATTTTAAGGCTGTAAGAAAAGAATGGGCCGCCATTAGAATCCAAACTGCTTTCAGAGGATTTTTGGTCAGTATTTCTTAAGTTGAATAAAAAAAACTTTTATTTGTTTGCATTCTTCTTTTATGTGAGATTTGCTGTTTGGATTGGTTCAGTTGAGAAAAGAAAAAGAAAAAAAAATCTCACCTTTTGGTTTCTTGGCTCTTTATGTTGCAATTGGGAGTTGATTAATATAATGTGACACAGAAAAATCTCACCTTTTGATTTTCTTTGCCTGCTTGAGTTTTGGTGGCTTTTGTGTATTGAATTTGTAATGAAATGTTGATGGGGGGATTTTCATTAGGCAAGAAGGGCTTTAAGGGCATTAAAAGGATTGGTGAGGCTCCAAGCCATAGTCCGAGGCAGACAGGTTCGTAAACAAGCTGCGGTAACTCTTAGGTGCATGCAAGCTCTTGTTCGCGTGCAGGCCCGAATTAGGGCCCGTCGTGTGCGAATGTCTGTTGAAGGACAAGCCGTTCAAAAGTTGCTGGATGAACGTAATGACAAGGATGTTTTGCTGAAACAAGCCGAGGTTTTTTTGTTCGTTCACAAACTTCCTTTTTGTCGAAACATTATCTAATTTTTCATCCTTTTTTGTTTTCGCAATTCATGGATTTTTTATTTTTTTAGGAAGGATGGTGTGATAGTAGAGGAACACTTGAAGAAGTAAAGGCTAAAATACAATTGAGGAAAGTGGGGGCTGTGAAGAGAGAAAGAGCACTTGCATACTCTTTAGTTCAAAAGGTATTTATTATTTGATCAAGAAATTTAAAAAAACACCTATTTGGTCTTTGCACTTCTAAAAATCATACTTCTTTCCTTGGTTTGGCAGTTGAAATCAGGGCAGGCTATTGAATCCTGCAACAATAATCCCACATTGAAAAACAATGGATTGGACAAGAATAATAACTGGAGCTGGCTTGAAAGGTGGATGGTTGCAAAGCCTTGGGAAAATCGACTAATGGCACAGATTAACACCACTTCTTTGGACACAACTCCACATTCAAAACCCTTAACCAAACCGAACTTCTCAGCTTTGCAGGAACAAAATTTGATTAAAGTCACTAAAAACAACATCACCAAGAGAATATCGGCCAAGCCTCCATTTATCAGTTCTCATGAAAGCCCGAGTTCTGATTTCTTGAAGCCCGATGAGAGCCCGCCCTCTTCTTTCTTCACAAACACAACCCCGTTTTCGGATAAGACAGAGGAGAGTAACACAAGTCGTCCGAATTACATGAACTTGACAGAGGCAACTAGGGCAAAGCAGAGGATCATAGGTGGACAGAGGCAACTGTCCATGTCTATGGATGAGTTTCAGTTTCAAAAGAAGTTGATCATTGGAGAAAATGGGGTCGGTTTGGATTCTAAGTCGAGGATTCTTTGTGTGCCGGCAAGGAATTAATTAAATGGGGTGAGTTTGCAATTGCAACAGCTTGTTGTTTATTCTGTGTTGGAACTTAGAAGTTTGAATGAATTATGAATTTTGTGTAAAGTTGTGTGAGGAGACTGGTATTTAAAGACTAGCAAATGGGGAATGGTAAATTTATTTCCAGATTTTGCTTATGTTATGCCATTGGGTTAAACAGATCCAGTGCAGTTTTTTCATTCATACAAAATCACCAGAAATAAAAAAATAAATATAAAGATTAATCCTTTTCAAAGATCAGAAACATTTTGAGATGTATGGAAATTTTTGTAGTTACACAGATGGGAATTTGTATTATTGTATAACTGTTCCTTATTTGAGTAAAATACACGAACTTTTTTTACGCACATTTTCGACTTTCATGCACGTCTGATCGCCCGAACCTTTACACCATTTCTGAAGTTAAGCACAATGCCATAGTCCAGCTGCAAAGGATTCTCCATATCAGGCGAATGCCGAAAAACGTAATTTCTGTATAAATGGATCAATGACAACTTGATTTCTTGCAAGGCGAATTTCTGGCCGATGCATGCACGAGGCCCGATTCCAAACGGGATGTTTGCATAAGGGTGCCTCCATTTTTCCTCCTTACCATTCGGGTCAAACCTCTCGGGCTTGAACTTTTCCGGGTCAGGAAAATTCTTTGGATCTTTTGCAAGAACTCCTAGAGCTAGCCACACCCATGTACCCTATTGATTATTTAAAGCTCATTTTCAATTATTTTGCATCTGTGGCTCAATTATTATACATTGTTTTGTTTGTGAATAAAAATAGGTGGATTGTATTGTACCTTTGGAAGGACATAACCTCCAAGATTAACTTCTGCAGAAGCTTCTCTAGCAACTAAGGGAGAAACTGTGTGGAATCTCATGGCTTCTTTTATAACCTGCACACTTAGTAAAAAATAATATCAAGAAAATACAAAATAATTCATGCATTTTTTAAAACTATATTGCACAAACTAATATACCTTACCTGATCAAGATAAGGGAACTCATGATGAAGTTCATGCGCGTCCGGCACCCGGTCGCGAGGGGCAAAATCGTCAATTTCCTCCAAAACCTTCCTCTCGACTTCCGGATACAAAGCGACCAAATAAACGACACACGACAAAGTAAACGAGGTCGTGGCAGACCCCGCCAAGAGGTGCTCGTAAGTCACCGCGCTAATGTAATCCGCCATGAACACGCTCACCGCACCCTTCTCACGCTCCCTCGCCCTCAACACGTTCGACAAAAAATCCCTCGACTCGCGAAAATCGCCACCGATCTTCATCCTCTCTTTTACAATCTCATCCACACGACTACTCAAATTCGCGTTCGTCCGGTCAAACTTCCAATCCATCGTGCCTGGGATTCTCTTCAAAATCTTTCTAAAGGGCTCTTGCAATATAGGGACTAGCAAGCCGAGTACGATCGAAAACGAGCCGGTTAAGTCCATTTTGAGACGAGTCGTGGAGTAAATGTGCTCGTTCACGAACTCTCGCACGTGCCCGTTTTCTCGTTCGCCGTTCGTTTTCGGTTTCGGTTTCGAGAGGCCGAAATCGACGCCAAACGCGGCTTGGCCGATCACGTCCGTGGCTAGCTTGAGCGAGAAGTCGGAGAACGAGAAGTCGGAGAACGAGAGGTCGATCGAGCGGTCGAGATTCTCGGTGGCCGATTTTACGATTTCTTGCATGGTGGGGATTAGTTTGGCGAGGTGAGACGGTTGGTACACGGATAGTATGGTGTTCCGCATTGCGGACCACCTAGCATCCCTGCAGTTCGTTCACTCAGATAGTTTTAACTACCGATTATTTTTTGAACCATAGTTAAAGTCCGGTCAACTATAGTCGTTACATTTTCCTTCATCCTCATATCACTCAAATATTTTAACTACCGATTATTTTGAACCGTTGTTAAAGTCCGGTCAACTATAGTCGTTACATTTTTCGTTATACTTCTATGACTCAAATATTTTTTACTACTGATTATTTTGAATAGTTGTTAAAGTCTGGTCAACGGTCAACTACAGTCGTTACATTTTTCGTTATACTCCTATGTAAGTTAACCGAGTAACACGAAAAATTAATTTCGGTTGAAAGAATTCGATTGTTGTACCAATTTTTGGTTTTATTGTTGTACCTTGTGAAGAAAAGGCCCTTTTGGTGAAGAGGGGAAGCAGCTATGGGAGAAGGAATGCTTCTATTGGGAAAGTATTTGAATTTTTTTATACCGACTTCTTTGCAAAGCTCTGCATCTGCTACAATTATTAGTGGCTGTCTGCCCATTTGAAACCTGATTTTTTTTTAATAATAATAACAAAAAAATTAGACTATACAGTCAGGAAAATCTATGGCCTGATCAAAATGTTGTGCCAAACAGAGAAAACAAACCAGACAATATTTCATGATTGAAAAAA